GCATGCTTATATAGTTTACAGTAGCCAACCCGATACTCCAGATGCCAAGATGTATGTTGCGGCACGTTTTTAAGTAGCGAGACGCGTATTTTTTCATCTGTAGAAGCAAACTTCTCATGAAGTGTCTGGAAATCAGCCTCAGATCAGAAGTTCGTCTCGTGCAAGCTACCTTGACAGCAGTTCTTCTGTGTGACTGTGAATGTTGGTCGCTTTGCGCAGAAGACAGTTAAGTTGGAAGGGTTCTCTCATTGATGCAGCGGTACCCTATTGCGATTGTGTCCCTTGGATAAGGTGTCGAACTCAGAGGTTCGCCGTTGCTCTATTGCTGTCAGAATGTCGACTACCACCAAACGACATCGACTACGTATCCTTGCTCTGTGTGCATGAACAGATTTTATTTATTTATCAGTTTATTTGTTTCTGTTTTATTTATTTTTTATCTACTGCACGCCATTCCCTGCTGTGTTGCAGTCACCGGAGTCTTGGCCAAATCAAGACTTGAATGGACACAGTAAGATCTGATCTAGAAAAGGTCTGGGGACCAACGGTATTACGAAGATTACGAAGATGAAAGTTGGAGCAGTTATTGATGGTGATGGGTCTAACTCTCGATCGTATGGGCTGGAAGGCCGTGATATGTGATATCGTTAAATCCGTTTAAACTAGTCACGTGTAACGAACGAACCAACCAGAGTATATTGTTACATGCATAAGCAGAACGTCGGCAAGTTAATTCCTTAACTCGGTTAAATTTGGTAACAGGGTTCCAGTAGATTCAGCTGAATCATTTTTTAAATGAAAGCTGCTATTTAATCTGTGTTAAACACAGCTGTTCAAGAATGGAGGGCTGTAAACTTAATCACCTTCCTTTCTGTTCAAGCGATGCTCCTTGAGTGAAAGGAGTTGCTGCGGTTAGTACCGATTTCTGTCAGATCATTCGTTTGTTAGTGGCCTATGCATATTGTCGATAGAATTCGACAGTCTTGGGCTGCAACTGGATGGGGTGCGACTGATGCCCAGCATCAATCTGTATCCCTGTGCAGGATCTCAGCTTCTGCCGTCTGAATGAAAAGGTTTTTGAACGAGTCACTGTAGAGTATTCACAACCTAGTTACTATTTACTATTTCTTATTAATAAGTCTTTTTAGAGTCTTTAATATCAGATTGAGAATATCGTTAGTATTAAAATCAAGAGAGATTACGAGTAAAGTTTTAGTTTTCAGTTCATACGTCCATAACAACAGAAATCAGTGTACATACACAAAACTGCAGATGTTAATGAAATGAGAAGCAACTTCAAATGTTATAAGTGCTCCAGTTAAGAAATGGAATAGTGCTTGAAACAGTGTAACTAGGAGTATTAATTTTGGCATAACTTATTTTACGGTTTATTATTTTAGGCGTCTAAGATCTGATCTCGTATAGAAATAGTCACAGATTGTGACGGGGGAACAGAACGAAAAAGAAAAGAAAGATAACAAGAAGTGGAAGGTACAAAATGATCTACCGTTTAGTCTCTTGTGCTGTCTAAAGATTATTGAACTTTAGTTGTCATTAGCAGTAATCCTTAGGTCCAGGTTGCTCTGAACCGCTGCTATAGGTTTCGATCTTAGTTTTGATTAGAACAAGGAAGTGTCACCAAGATTGATTATTTTGTTCGTGCGTTGCTGATCGTACGGAAAACTGAAAAAAGGCCTGGAGGGTCAGCAAAGAAATGGGGGGAGGGGGTTGATTGCACGGGCATCGTTAAGACGAATCAAAGGAACCTTAATTATCTTGTCCTGTGAAAATGTTATCCGGGACAAAGGAAAAGAATTTCGCACAGATCGGATATATCAAGTTCGTTACCAAAATTACCGTTTTTACACGTTTTTCAGTTTTCAAGAAAATGTTACCTGTTCTTTCGATTTCAGCTTTAACTTTCATGTAATCCTCTACCATTTGTTTGACGTCCATTTGGGCGCTGATCTGTGACCGGTTGCTGTCGTCGTTCAGCATCATCATTACTCGCTCCGCTTCATGTTTTTGCCCATGAACTGCCAGCCATCGAGGGCTCTCTGGCACACTCTGAAGAAAAAACAACTGGGAAATTGACGGACCCACCAGAAAGCCAACCATCAGCCTAAATAGTGAGTTACAGCCGAAGTCACTCCACACTACTTCCTGTTCATTACCTCCAATTGATATCATCGTTTTCGATGTAACTGAAGGCCGCGCTGAGCAAGGCAGCGCAAAAGAAGCCACTCGTTATCATCAACTGATACGACACCAACATTCGTCCTCGCACAAGCGGTGGCGTGATTTCAGCCACGTAGACAGGAGTGACACATGACGTGATTCCTTAAACAGGCGTCAGTCATGACTGAAATGACCATATTATCAACGGAACCCAATATTCGAAATTCGACGGCTGAAGAAATTAAAGTGGCAATGGTCAGTGCGCGTTGAAAGAAGAACTAACCTTCGTTGAACCAGTGAGACAAACACTAGACTGGGTTCCAAGATATAGTGAAACGCCTGTAAGAAGACCTCCAACCCAGTGGCAGGATGAGGGGAAGATGTTCGCTATATCAGATGTACACATATCACAGGAAGCGGAATTTTCTGGCTAAGTTTTGAACCAGTAGGACATTAGACTGGGTTCCAGCGTATAGTGAAAGGCCCGTAAGAAGACCTCCAAGTCAATGGCGGGATGAGATGATGTTCGCTCTATCAGGATGTACACATATCACGGGAAGAGGAATTTTCTGGCTAAGTCTCTAAAAGTCTTTTATTCAGCAGTGGTTCTGAATAGGCCGATGGTGATGATTCGTGTTCGCAGTCAAACTGCTAGTTTTCTGTGCTGACAGTGATAACAACAGTGTCCTGTCAATTCTCTCGATTTACCGGGCGTGGTCACATCGTGACTACTGTCTTGCCAAATCCTTTGTAAATGAACTTGAACCTCTCTGTATGACTCGGTAAGATACCAGAATCTAATCTATAGGCAGTAGTTTTGCATTTTTGCTGGTGACCTGTGTAACACAATCTCTGATAGCAGGGCCCTCTGTTGTATTCTCTTGAAGCAACAGTCTTCTCTATAGAAGCAGTTTTTTGCAACAGTCACAATTGTTGTTCCGAATCAGTGTGTCCCTTAAGCTGGATGTTGCTTGGTCCTCATGACTCGGGAGGTCGGGCTTTGAAGAGATGGCGGGAACTTCGTCATAAAAACAACAAACCAAAACAATAAATATTTTAAAGTTCTTACCTACGGCGAGTCCAACGATGATTCTACCGGCGAAAAACTGCTCCTTGTTAGACGAGGCCGCCATTACTGTAGACCCGACGATGAAAAATATGGTTGATATAATGATCATCCTCTTACGGCCGAATCTCTCAATCATATATCCGGAGCTTATAGTGGACAAGGCAGCAGCTCCGACGGTGCCAGATACCATTAGCTGAAATAAGCACGTTAAGAAAGGGGTCGTTTAAACGACTCTTCTGTGATTGGATTTTTTGAGACCCATTGTCTATTAGCCAGTGTGCCTAGCTGCTAGCCTCCTGTGATATTAGACTGTTCGATAAACTACGCATCATCCGAAACGACCATAGTATCATCACTTAATACCGGTCATGCCGCAAACTGGTGAGGTCAGAGGTAACCTTCGAGGAAGCGATCGATAAAAAACACTGCAGATAGCAAATCGACGAGGCTGTGCTCCAAACGCCCATTTTCAGCGAAGGCTTACGCCTTGTGGCAGCTGTAATGATGACTACGAGAAGTTCACCTGGAACTGAATCGCCGTGTATAGTCAGTCCAGGAAGAAACACATCACAGAGAGCGAAACGAAGGATCTGGAAAGATTCGAAGAATTTAGTATGGAAGTGGAAAGGGGAAGGACAGTCAGGGAACCGACAGGGGGTCGAATACTCTCTTCTCTGCAGACTCATTAGGCGGAAGCTTTAGGTTGACTATGAACTAGAGAAAGCCGCTGAAGCAACAGAAAACTGGCACAATGCCGAAAACTGTTAGTGTTTAACCCGTCGACCAGAACATCGTTCATGAGGATTGCGAGGGATCTGTTGCAAATGACATGAAGGGAAATGCATGTGGCACTCAAGGTACTGAAATATCAAAGAGCTGGAGCCTGCTTAAATGTCTCCATGAGCAACTACGAGCACGGGACGGTGCAACACGCTATGAAATCTACTCCTGATGGAGTTATACGCCATTTAGTAAGCAAACTTCGGCTTAGAAACGCATTTCGATCTTTGCCCGGTAGCATGTAATGAGTAACATTTCCTGAAACATTGTTCACGATGATCTTGCTTCTGACATTCTTTGTGCTAAAATATCATGGAGCCGTGGCACGGTTGCACGGACTCCGAAGAACTACGAGTAAGAGCCGGTGTAATACGCCGCGAAACCGAGTCTCAAAGTAGTTTTGCGCTGTAATATATTCCTTTTTTGAATTGCAGTATTGTGCAGCCAAGTGATCAGTTCTATGGCGCAAGAGAACTGCTAACAGCTCAACCTAGAGCATGTCATGCAACTCTCAGCTATAGTCACACTGCGCCCTTTCTCTGAGTTATCAGAATCCTACTTTATACTTCAAGCGGAGTGTCAGCTATTGAACTGAAGAACTTAAATGTGATTCCGGAAATTGATTCTGATTCGGTGCCATGAATTCGTATGATTCTTTAAATTTCAAGATCAATGGCTTTAGGCGCAATGTAAGACTGATGGTTTATATTAAATCAGGTTTTATTGCATAATGGCCAATGTTTGGGCCGCAGAGTAGCGACCTTCTTTGCTGAAAAAGCCGCCGCTGTTGTGAGGCCAAAACTTTAACCATTATTAAATTAAACCTTGTTCAACATCAACCATCAGTTTAAATCTATCAAATGTTTTTAAAAAATACGAGCAGTATTAAAAGCAGAGTCAAAAATCAGACTTCGCTGAAGCACTACTCCCTTTTATGGTCACGTTCACCTACAGTTCAAATCTCGTGGACTGAGAATCAAATCTTGGCGTCTGCTAAGTGTTCTTTGCGACAAAATTTTGCGAAAGTGCATTGTCTTTCATTTTTTGTTTGCAAAGTGAATAGTCGTTTTATACCGTACCTTACACTTACGGATTCGAACAGAAATCCCGCGTAAGTTTTTCTTAATAAGTGCTGATTCACTTCATGAAGAAAGTCACTCAACCATGCCTTAGCATAAATACGTAAGTGACTGTGTGAAAGGATCATCAATGAGGAAGATACTGAAAAATGCAGAGGACCTACGTGAACGAAGTCCTATTGACAGTCAGTACCGTGTTACAGTACCCTACGATACCTCAAATGTATTCAGTTATAGCTGAACATTTTTTTAACAGAGGCGGTAGTCGACTCACTGAAGCTAAGATTCTACGACTATCAGTGGACAGTCAAATCTTACCTCTTGCCAATGGTTGGGAAGCCTTAGTCTCGTCTTTATGATCAACATAGCACCGGATATAACACCGCAGCAATATCCTAAGAGAAAGCCACTGACGACGACTGTGCTTGTAATGTATACGGTTCGCCATGTAAGGCCGAGGTTGGCAGTTTGTTTTTTGAACCGAACGTCTGTTGCCTAAACGCCCACATTTGTTCACTTCTGTCTGTCAGCGAACGTTCGCGTTAATGCTTACGTTTGGGACGTGCTCCATGCGGTTTAAGCGTTAGCCGGCTGCGGTCAGCAGAAGAAGCTGGCTGGCACCTGAAATGAGTCATCTGACAAGAGAACATGGTTCTAGTCTTAGTTCCAACATTCATAACACGCGCGCATACGACGGTTACTAATTTAAAACTGGGAAATAAGCGTGATTAACCGAAACTGGGTTCTTCACTTTTAAATATTCATAAATAAATTTCTGATGATGCTGATGACGAAATAAATTTCTACTTAAGTATCACCATCCGAAGTCTCAATCACTTGTCTTCGTTTTCACTTCTACAGAAGCTGTCAAAATTAATATTATAAATGAGCTTGTTTCAAATCTTTATCATCTTCGTCTTCCATGGTGGCTTCTCCTTCCAGGTCGCGGCGGCAAACGCGTCAGGCAGAGCTTCCAACGTTCCTGATCCTTAGCCAGAGATTGAGATTCAACGGAAGGCAACAGGAGCCTGAAACAGACTCCTTCCGTATATTTGCACCAGGTTAATCTTGGCCGTCTTCTGGGCCTTCTGCCAGTCGGTTTCGCAAGAAAGAACTGCTTAGCCTTCCTTTTCAGAGGCATTCGCAACACATGCCCAAACCATCGCAGCTGTGACTTCTCAATCTGGAGAAGCAGCGGCTGTACACCAAGGCTCTCTGGAGTGTCTGTGTTCCTGACCATGTCGATACGTGTAAGTCCAGCGACTCGTCTCAGAAAGTTTCGAATATAGTCGCTATATTTAAATATGGCACAAAAGTCGAGTAGCAATCATAGAAAGTTTTCTTTTCTATTAATCGTATTTTCTGTACCTAAAGATTTGAATTTAATTTTTAGAATTAGGTCTTCATCTTGTGTTGACCAAAGGTTCCCTGAAACGTAGGTCGATGCGTACTGCGACGATTTAAAACGCTCAATCATTCCATCCATGTTCAAGATCTTTTGTGTATTGATATCCAGTTCTAGTTTTTTTCCGCTTGCGTACACTCCATGGAGTCTCTTGATAATTCAGCGCGGGTACCGTATACTGGTTAATTGCCACGAGTTTGTTTTTTCCCCGCAAAACTTGCTGTTCAGGATTCGGCAAGTTCTCTTCTCGTGTTTCGTTTTAAGGTCAACTTCACTGTTTCGTGTAAAATATAGTTTTGACATGTGAGGTATTTGTGGAACTATCCCTTTTCAATGGCATGAAGGATCCGTTAGCAGAGGAATTTTCAACATCAGCCATTTCGATCTCTTGTCTCAGAGACGATTTCTCAGTGATCTTGTGCAGGATGATTTTGCTAATGTACTGATTTGGATCATCCTGTCGCACACTATCATGCGCTTTTCTGATCTTATCCTGCTGCAGTTCTGTTTGCAGCGCATTCTGCAACCAGCCACGTCAAAACTGCGACTTCAGCAGGGCTGTTTACGACATAACAGATATTTTTGATTCATTACTTGTATATGAAATTATGCGATAAAACGGTTCAGTGAAACAAACATTAAGCAGAGATATTCAGTAGTTTTAGTAGAATAGATTAATGACGGACGCTCAACGGCCACGTTTCACTAGCATCATCCGTATGAACATACCAATAACGAAGGAGGAATTTATGATTTTTCTAGTCATGGGTGCTGGAAAATGCTATTCGAGGGAACCAAGGAGAAAATTTCTAAATGGTAATTAGCCTCTCTATAATAATAATTAATAGTACATAACGTAAAATTAAAAAATTTCTGTTCAGCTACGAGTTTTATCGGCTATTGAGCCCCTTGTAGCAACGCATTAGAAACACCTCTTTGCTATTACTGTATTCACCAGTACTGTTACAGTCCTATAGACCTAAATCTAAGTTCTTTACGTTGTGCAAGGTGAACACGACTGACCTTCAGGCCTTCTACATTAGAAGTCACACACGGATCGTCAGCAGTAGGTAGCACCGTTACGTCTAAAAAATAACGCTCGTGTAGAACACTAGAATGAACCCCCTTCTCAAACCCAACGTTTTCTTCATCAAACCCGCATAACTTTCCATTTCCTGTCTTTGCCATTCAGCGAGGCTGTCAAAACGATGGTCTCCGTACTATACTCTAACAACTGCCAGTCGCATTTCCAGCGGCAGCCCGGAGAGAAACCGTCAAATACGTAAAAGCGACAATTAACTCGAGCATTTTGCCAATTATGGAACGGCTCAAAGGCACCGTCGTTAGAGTCGCGCTGTGTTGGTCCAAATGTTCTATTGCTTATTATTCACTCTTGGTAACAGTGCTATAGAAAATTAATCCGCTGATAATTTTAATCAAGTAGAAGAATATTAAGTATACACACCTGGCTGAAAAATAGTTATTGAAAATTTTTCTGAACGTTCATCTCCAGCAGTGATAGACTACAGGACAGCATCGCAGCTTGGCAACTTGGCCGCCTAAAGTTTGCTTTCCAGACGAGGGCGTTGCACTCCTGTATTTTGTATAACTCTATCTCTATGGCGATCCATTCATATTTAATTTGCTGAGAATTCTTACACAGTCGAATTTTTGCATACGCTACGCCCCTCTGTCGGTCGTTCTGCTTCCATTACAGCGTCATGCATTTCTGCTACAACCATTTGATGTTTCTGTTTACATATGTTTTTCTGTGTTAAAGAGCGCGTTTTTCAAAAAAAAGTATACTTTGACTACAATCACCCTCTACAAATCCTTTATCTGCTTTTATTCACCGGTTGTAGATGTTTTGAAACCACGTCTACTTTTCATTATCTAGCTCTTTTCATATTTTAGAATGAGATCCTGCTGCTTTTTGTTTCGTTTACTGCTCATTTAATGCACCGCTTGTTTTTTGTTTACGCTTAACACATCGTCAATATCAAGCATATCACAAACAGTCTTTTAGAATTTTACAGCATCCAAAGATATGGGCTTAATTTAAAATAGGTGTTTCCGTTACTCAGCCACCAAGTCGATCAGGATCTAAACGTAAGGCACTGCTTTCTCGACACGATTTTGTTTTTTCATGAGCAGATGAAAAAACTTTGCCTCTTCTTCGTAGATGGATGACTGGTCTAATTGTTCCACCCTCGTTTCTAAGTCTCTTTGGAGAATTATATATGAGCATATATATAATGCCTTGGTAAGTCACAAACAGGAAGACAAGGCATAAAATGTTCTTTAATTTAGGCCACCTGAAGTTTCACACAAAGCTTTGTCCGTCTTCAGATTACAATAAGAAAAGAGCGTGGTATTTTCTGCATAAATATGTGAGTCATTCAGTAGTCACTATACATACCGCATTCGAAATACTGGCTATCGCTTTACCGTGCTGCAGCACCATCCACGACTTAGAAGGAAGCCATGCTTGGCAGGTGTTGTTATTACGACGATGACTGTCACCGTCATTGGTTTAGCCGGTTCATTGATGTCCCGAATCGACGCTTTTCACCTCTATCAATCATGCGCAATGTTCGCACCAAG